AAAGCGGCGAAACCACCAAGCGACTGGAGTCACCATTTACGAACGCATCTACAGAATAACTCTTTTACTGCGCAGCGTTCCATACCAACTCAACTCGCTGCACCAGGTGCCTTGTGATCATGCATGTGCCGTCAAAACGTCCCACGGCTTCATCGTTGCTGCAACATACATCTCGCCAGAAACCTCACAGAACAACTTCATTAAACTCTCGCTCGACAACTTCAGTGTGGTGTGCCAAGAGGATGTGCCGGTAATTGTCACAGGAGACTTCAATGTGAAAGTACTTCAATGTGAAGAGGACTGGCTTAAGCCGTTTCTCGGTGCGGAACTCTGACTTCACCTACTGTCTGACTTCACACAGCCTACTACATGCAAGAATACATTTCTAGATATGATGTTCGAAAACAGTGTTTCTTCACGAGGGCACTTCGTGCCATTGCCAACATACATCAGTGACCACAAGGTGGTTGTCACTGTCATTGAATGAACTGTCTCAACACTTATATTCACCAGTGTTTCTATCAAATATTATATTTCCTGCCTTTATTTCATACACGTCAATAAATACAACATTTATTTCGCCACGTGGGTCTTGCAATACCACCATTCCGAGCACACCCGAGAGAGGGCCTTACCAAATATAAATGCGCTCTACACCTAAAAAACTGCCACCAACGTCGACAGACGATGTATATAGCTCTTGGTACCAAGATGCGCTGCCAACGGGAGGAGCTTCTTTTTTATAATCACTACGAACGAGCCTTGTTGTGGTTATCTGACGTGACTCTACAGCCGAAAAACTTGGTTACATGGCAATTGCATGTTTACTACAAATAATATTGCGAAATTTGCGAAATGATATTGCGAACGAGTGCGGGACTCGTTTGTGCATTTACCCTTTTTTATAGTTTTTTTGGGGTTCTGTGTAAATATTTCTGTTTTGCACATAACCCTGCTGTATTGTAACTACCCCCCCCCCTATGTAATGCCCTAATGGGCCTTTAGGGTATATGAATAAATAAATAAATAAATATTGCTCCTAAAGCTACTAGCCTTGCTTCGTAAAACATTCAAGTATATTGCTACCGCATTCATTGTTTTGCCCTTTTGTTGAAACTGTGACATTTTATTTTAGAGTGTAGGAGAATGGGACTCGTCCTGTTTTTTTACATTTTTCGAATTTTAAGAATTGCCACGAAATTAATGAGTTTTTTTTAAGACATAGAACCTAACTTATGCTACTGACTCCAACTTAAGTTATGTGATTGCTGTGATTATCATATACAAGAATTTTTGTTTGCTTGTGTGTTTTCGTGCCCAAACAAAAGAAAAAAATGTACAAATTGGTCGATTTGACAAAAGGCAGACATTGCATTGAAATGCACCCCCATTTGCTGTCAACATGTCAAAAAAATGGGGTAATTTATTTTCGATATCTCGTGTGCAAAAATGAGTGTAATAAACTTTCTCAAAAATATATTATCTGTCAAATGATTGTTATTTTCCAAAAACATTTTTTACCAAGGGAGGTCTCACTATAACCTAAGTTGAAGTCTAAATATTCCTAACTAACCCGAGTTGTCATTCTTCTTGTTTAGTTCAGTCATGCCATGTTTGGCAGGATAAGCCAAAATCTGCCTAATTAAAAGTAAACTAGGCTGTGTTTGGCCAGTGTTAGCAAAGCTAAATAGCTAATCATGCTGAGATCGACCCAGGAGGTGCGCTACCCACAACATGCCCTGAATGTACACATTAAGCCATGTACTTAATTAGATATTTGTGCTGTTTTTTACATATTTAAAATTTGCATAATTGCCAACTATTTTTTTTCAAAAGGTAGCCTCACTTTACCTTAAGTTAAAGTTGCCCGAACTAACCCGAGTGGTCATTCTTCGCGGTTTGTTCAGTCATGCTGTGCTTGGCAGGTTCAGACTAGCTCAGCCTGATGAAAACAAAATTAGGCTAGTTCATGTTTAAAAAGCTAATTTAGCTAAGAATACTGAGATTGATTCAAAAGGTGCGCTACCCCAGACTATGCTCCGAATGTACATATTAAGCGATGTGGCCAATAAGGCAATCTATTGTGGCTAATAAGGTCTGTCATTTACTTATATCTTCTAACACTGACCTAACTGAGATACCAGCAAACGAAGAATAACAATATAATATGCAAGTTAAGCTGATAAGGCTGAACACACTAATTATGCGATCATGATAATTCATATAATGAAGGTATTTTCGGCACTGTGATTGCCAAATGAGGTCCATTAGAACACGCGAACGTTGATGATTCACACTGTTCCATCATGAGTATCTTGCATTGGCGTGTGTTGGCAGGTGTGCGTAGAGAAACCGGGGCGAGTAGAGTGCCGCCCAGCTCTTGTCTTTTCTGACTTCGCGTCACCCCGTGTAACTTACGCGATTTTTTTAGATGCAAAGCGTCTTATAGTTTAGCTAAATTCGGCGTGAGGCATCACCACCCTTACTGTTCATGTGCGTACACTGTCCTCTCTCTTTTCGAACCGCCGACACAGACAGCGTCTGCTAGTCAATGCTAGCTCCCCCCTTTCTTCTAGGCATCTCTCCCCGCATTGTTCACGCCCTCGTTTCGCCTATACGCACCACATCTTCTTCTACACTCTCCCTCCCTCTCCTTTAGGCATACCTCTCCGCGGCATTTACACCTTTATTGTGCATGCGTGTCCCCTCCCTCTCCTCGCTTATGCTCCTCTCTCTGTCGCCTCTCAATGCCAACGCAGGCAGCGTTTGCTATTCTACACTTGATTCCTCCACTCTATACTCTAAGCCCAGGCAGCCTGCGTTTGCTAGTGAGTTTTTGTATTGAAAAAATATTGGCAGATCCCGCGTACAGTAGGAATCAATGATAAGCGAAGCATGAATGAGTAAGGTTAACATCTCACCTTTAAATTAGCACAACGTTACGAGCTGGAGGTAAACTACACCGCGCATGACTTCCGCACCACAATTACTGTTTGGACGTGTCGTTTACCTTCATCATCTGTCCACGTAATCTCATACCCAATTTAGTATATGCGAAGCTAGCGAAACGACCGCGAGCGCGCTAAAAGCGTAGCTTTTAATCAAGTTTTACATGACAACCATGCCATTATTATCATGTTTGGACGTGTCATTTACTCTCGCCATCTGTTCTCGTCACGTAATACAAAATTTCGCGAAGCTAGCAAAACGGCCACAAGCACGCTACGATCGTAGCATGTAGTCATGTTTTACATAACACGCATATCATGATTATCATGTTTGTACCTGTCATATATATTGTCATATACATTCGTACCTGTCATATACATGAGTGTGGCAAGTAGTCATATTGTTAGATGATACGCATGTCACGATTTTTATGTTAGCGTCTTTCGCTTGTGTTCGCCATGCAGTCATGTAATACCATACTAGTCTTGCAACAAGTTGTGTGAACGAAACCACCACAAGAGCAGCAAGACCATGTATTATGTAAATCATGACATTCATGATATACATATCATTATTTTCTTGTCATGACTAGTCGCTTACGCTCGTCATTTAGTCCTGTTATGCCATACCAGTTTTGGTGTATATATCGATACCATTTTCGAAACGGCTACGAGAAATACAAGTCGTAGGTGGCTATAGATAGATAGATAGATAAATTGATTGATATATATATATATATATATATATATATATATATATATATATATATATATATATATATATATATATATATATATATATATAGATAGGTAGATAGATAGATGGATAGATAGATAGATAGGTAGATAGATAGATACGCTCAAAGTTGCCGAAATTCGCTTAGAAACGCTTCGAATTTAAATACCGACTGCTGGCGCCCTGCGCACTGGATCTAGACCTCCAAGCTAGTGCCGGTGAGAGATTTCTCCTATTCGTTACTGAAAAGTGAAAATTCGCGGCGTGCCCGTTAACTAAAGCGGACTGCGGGTCTCTGCGTTCAATCGGAGTGCCTGGTCTCTCATTGCCCATTAGCAGCGACTAGCTTGTTTCAGTAGGAAACACCGGCTCATTAGGGTGTCGTTTGCGCCTCTCCAGAGATGTCTCTTGCGCAATACCGCGATGAGCGCCAGCGTTAACGCCGCCATGAGTGTAAGCGTTAGCGCCAGCTGCTTCGCATCTACACATGATCCCCTTCAGTGGGAGATGGTGTAATTCTTTTTTTTTGTATTTAGGATGACCATGCCTAAAACCATGCCTCACGAAATGGTCTTCGACTCATCTAGTATTGGTCTAGCCCATTCTTTACGATGCGCGTGACGCTATGATGCACGTCTGTAATGATAAAATAAATCTATATTTAATATTCTCAAATACTGTACTACCATCCTCCGCCAAGTTTTCTATTCCTTTCTGCATTTCACCACGCGAACTTCCTAATGAATGCTTGTCCTCCGCATTACACATGTCCTACAGACGTCCACCTTTCCATTAGTCTTAACAAGAATATCAGCTGCACCTGTTTTCCTCTACGTTACTGTTCCTCTTTCTCCATGTTTGTCAACCTTTTTGGCTACTGCAATACTTGGAGACTTCGGTAGTTTTGTTTTATCGCTATCCTTCGAACTTATGCCCTCCATTGTGGTGCGTTCTATTTATTAGAGGGGGGTGTATCATTCACTGCTTCAGTTTATTACTTACAATGATTTATTCAACGCCGAGCAATACAGATCATTGACTGAAGTCGTATCTTCTATGATCATTCACGTGCGCGCTTTCACAATGTGTTGCCTGGAACCAGTGAACCATTTAGCATTATTCCAGCACCTGGTGCTAGTGAGGCTAAGGCTATACGTTACGGGCATATGCAATCGAATCGAGGTGTTGAGTGGAATGTAATCAACAATAACTTCCTTAAGTTATTACCCAATGTTCTTGTGACTCACTTTCTTTGCTAGCTCTTGTTCGATAGAACCTAATTATACGTAGTGTCAGCGCAATGTAAAAAAACTTACCCTGTACAAATCCGAAAGTGAAAGTCATCCATGTTATATCAGGAACGAATACAGAGGCGAAAATGCCCACCCAGAAAAGCACGCTTCCGAGAAGGCTGATTGTGGATACTGCGAAGAAATTCTGAAGGACTGCCACAAAGACCCCTGTAAGATTACGAATAAGTATTACATAAAAAATAATGGTGTAATCAACAAGTAGACCAAGAAAAACATTACTAATAAGAAATATTGAGATCTTCAGAAAGAAAACGTTCGAATGTACCCAGGATAAAGGCGTATCATAGAAATTTCTAGTGTAAAAATATGAAATATTAAGTTTAGGCAGAATCTAAAAACTCTTTTAAAGCTAGGCAGGTGTATAGTGCTTTATCTTTCATGTTCTTCATTTATTTACACCTGCAGCCTAATTTGCCCGTTGCAGAATTAGGGTGAACCAGCTTACGAATATGTATAGGCGCTCCACATCAAGCCTGTCAATGTTATTAGGCGATTGTGTCCCGGTAGTGGCTTCTAAGCTTGAATTGTTGAAGGAACAAACCGGTACTCCCAGAAGCAAGGGTACATGTAATAAACGATCAAAACGTTTTGGTCATGGTGACTCCTATTTTTGAATTTATGGAAAAGATCATGTAGTTCTTTAAATAGGAGTGACAACGACAGTTTGTTAAAGATCGGAGGAAATTTTAGAGCTAGAGAAGACGACACACTGCGACAGCTGTTTGAAAAAGCTGGAAAGAAGTCTAAAGTGACGGAAATTTCGTTTGTATTTCATACAAACAAAACACACTTTTTCCTTGCACAAATTCCAATGCTTCGATTTCAGAACGTCTGGCAGAACGGGACCACGTTTCATGGTGGCAAGAATAAGAATTTTTAAGTAAGAAGGCCAGATTTTGAAACGGTATGCGACAAAAAAGCACTTTTTTGTGATTCGAAATCTAAAAAAAGTCCGGCACACTCTACGCTTTTTGACAATTGATGTAATACGAATCTGCTGCAAGGAGCTGCATACATCGCGTTGTTTGTTGTTGAAGAAAATGAAGCCAGTCACTTAGTAACACGTTATCACTCTCGTGCTTTTCCTGCGTGCATACATGTAGAAGCCCATAGACATCACGATCAACCCTCAGGGTCTGCGAGAAGATAATGATCTTGCACCTCAGTGGCTTTGCATCATGGATCCATGTGCGAGTGAACATTGCAGCAAGAGTGACCCCCTCGGTTGTAGTTCACGTACGAAAGAGTAGGCAAGAAAATATGTGGGATATGAAACGCCCCACGGCTTCCCGCATATACAGTGCATGACTTTTCATTCATGTTCTTCATACAGTGATTTCATGCTATTTTCACACAAATGAAGTTATTTAACCGACCACAAATGCACTGTGAGCACAGCGTGTAATAATTGCCGCATATATGGCATGCATTTTAGGATATTTATAGTATTACGTGTGATTTCTGTTTGTTATAAAGCCATAACATACCATACTGACGAAGGGGCCACTAGCGTGCTATGATTGCGGCATGTAAATCATGCAGCACATGTCATACGATTCATGACTTTCGCAATAGGGGCTGCAGAGGAAGTTTCTATACAGGCTTTGATGCAATGCGTGTATGGAACTGTCGCTCTGGCACAGCTGAAATGGCACACAAAAGGAGGAAGACGACAATGTGGTTATTGTGGGTTGGACTCTCAAGCTTCCCCTGTTGGCCTGCATGACTGTGCGCTCTTTAAGCTGTTAGCAAGACCCGCTGTCGGTGAATAAAATTTCCCCGTAACATAACTTGGTGGAAGGTGCAGAGTCTTCACACAACCCCGCTCTGGAACTCCGCAGTAAACGCCAGTTTTGTCCAGCCGCGATGCCTGAAACCGGCACTCAGGGCTCGCCATCCACGCTGGCTCCATCACCTCTAATTCCCCCGCATCTTCATGACCCTGGCACGTTTTCCGGGACGGACAGCACGGACGTCGAAGAATGGCTCACAGTATTCGAGCGCGTCAGCAAGCACCACATGTGGGACGAGACGCTTATGCTGGCAAATATTCTATTCTAGTTACAGGATATGGCACACGCCTGGTATGAGACGCATGAAGAAGGATTAACCAGCTGGGACACGTGCAAGCAAAAGCTTCGAGACTTGTTCGGTCGGTCAGTTGCTCGTCAGATGGCAGCCAAGCAGAAAATCGCGTCGCGTGTTCAATCATCGACAGAGTCGTACATCACGTATATCCAAGACGTACTGGCACTGTGGCGGAAGACTGACAAAAACATGTCCGAGGCGGACAAGATCAGCAATGTGTTGAAAGAGATTGCTGATGATGCTTTCAACATTCTAATGTGTAAGAACTGTACCACTGTCGACTCCATCGTATCTCGATGCTGATGATTTTAACATGCTAAAAGCAGGCGAATAATCAACCACTTTACGACACTACCAAACACCGCTGCGACTTCGTCGTGCGAGGATTCTGGAGCGCCCCATTCACTTGCGCCTCCTGCCAATATCGCAAGGATTGTTCGCCAGGAGCTGGAGGCCATGGCACCCGCTTCCTATAAGCCCCTTGCGTAAGACAACTGGGCAACAGTCTCGCTCACTCAAGCCGTCGTACGTCAGAAGTTTGCTAACGTGGGCGTCCAGATTACCCAGCACCTCCATCAGAGCACTAAGCTAAGAGGATGTAATCCTCTTAGCCTAGTGCTCTGCGCATTAGGTTTCTTAGGGCTCCTCATTGAGACAATTTTTTATACTGTGTTTTATGTGGCTTCGTATTCGCGAAAACGCAGTTGACAAAGTTATTGGCATCAACAGACACCGATTGTAATGACCAATGAGCAACCAATAAAATGGCGTAGGAGGAAGCCAATCAGTTATGATTAGAATCAGGAAACCTTTAGAACTATTACGGCTGCCCCTCAGAGCAATATAGCACTTTGGTATTTAGGTCCAAACTGACTGGCATATACCTATCTTTTTGTTGTGCTAGCATCGCTTTCATACGGGTATGTGGAGTATTGTAAATATGACGTACACTATAACTTTAGCAATTTTAAGGGTATGCTGTGTGCTCTTTTCTTGTACCATTCTGGGAAAAAAGCACAGCAGATCTCGTCAATAAATAATTACGTAAAGCATTCATACTGTACACGAGCAGTCTAACATGTGCTACAGCACCAGAAAAAAAAGCTTCTTTAAGACAGACACAAGCTTCTGAATCAGTTTACCTACATTGGTTTACGTGGAAAGGCTAACAATATTTTTGTACTGACCTTCTGCTGATAGCTTCGTATGTTGAATTTCAGCAACTCAAAAAATTACGTAGCGTTAGTACTAACCTGAGACATCATCCACGGCTTGAAAGACACTGGTCGGCCAAGAAGCTGCTTGTCTGTTGATCCCGTATTGTCGCATAAAGGCCACATAAAAGAAGCCAGATGTGGAGTGGACAGCGGACGAGAAAAAAGTGGCTGCACACGCGATCAAGGCTCGGCTCCAAGCCTTGTCGAGCTGGGGCTTGTGCGAAGGGGGCTTGGACAACGCCTCGGTACGAGGGTTCTTCTGACCAGTCGACGTCTGAAGCGTTGACGCTCCGTTTCCTTTAACGTTAGTGGACCTGCGCGTATTAGGAAGTTAGTTCTCTAGGGTTGAATAAATTGTGGACGGTGCATATAGATAGTAATTTGAACCGACAGGACAAGGCTACTTTCACGATTATTGCTTTGATAGCTGCAAATGGCTGTTTCCAGGGAGTTTGCGAGATGAAATTTCTTGTTTCATTGCACCTCATTTTCTTATAAAGACAGGTGTCACATCATGATTGCTAGTTCTGCATCATGGTTGAAAAAAAAAGAGCTTTCGAAGCGTCACAAAGCAAACGACGAAAAATGCACGCCAATTTCGCTTACATTATTTTTTTGGGGAGGTGGGTAGGAGAGATTGAGGGTTAAAGGAGAGAGCACACATTATCTTTTGCTCGTACCATATCAACATTGGTAGTACATAAATGGTCGCTTACGTGAAGTTTAAAGAGGATGGCGTTAGCTGCTCTGCATCCATGAGATCTTTCCCGTATTTTGGTCCTAAGGTAAATCAATTGCAGAGAATCTGCTTTGTCTTTTCATTTATAGTATACTTTTCATGAGCGCAATACAGAAAATGAAGCAGCGAAAATGTATGCGGTTTGTGCCAGAACCTGTTCTTTTTCAAGCCGAGCATTCTAAGTCGTATTTCACTTTCATACAATATTTCTCAATAAGAAAACTGAGGCACGTGCACGCCACTGGAAGCCAAGTTTAATTTGCAAGAGCGCACACCCACAAATTGGTGCGTTTAAAATAATAATAGCGGAACGGGTCGGCTAGTGACAGCTCCCATAAAAATTGTATTATACTGCTCCCTATGACACTGAAACGTCTGTTGTAAACCGGGTTTCTCAGCTGAAAGCGCGTTCCTTCGTTTGGAAATTACCATCGGATGAGTATAACTTGCACAAGCAAACAAATAAAAAGAAAAGAAAAGATTCGGAAAATTCTGCTGACATACACGTATGGCTGTAACGGTTTAAAATATACCTTTTAGCATTAAAAGAAGTTGAGATCTACAATGCACTTTCCGTTAAGGTAAGATATATGCGTTTGCAACCGTGTCAGTGCGAATTCATCAAAAAGACAGGGAATACGGAGACTTCGAGTTATGATATTTTGGCCGCCTATATGCATGCTTCGCTGGCAAAAGTCGTCGAAAAACAGTAACCTTCTGCCTGGAGAGAGATGATATCTTATTTGTTTAACGTTCTGCGCGAACGCATTGCTGAGTAGGCGCTCAGAGAGATGTGGGCGCCATCTGGCAGTCATTTCTAGAAATGAATTGTTTGAAGAACGCAGAGCCATTGGTAGGTGGCAGCGCCGGGTCGTTTTAGTGAAGCGCGCGAAGCACCCGCTTATGTTTCATAGTATCAAATTGTCAGGGCAGTGTAGTAAGCACTGCGGTCTTTAGAATTACATAACTACGCATTATATAAATAAAGGAACCCACGACACAATACTTACGTGTTGATGTTTACCAATTTATGCATACCACTTTCTTTTTGACTTACAGTGTTCACAAGTATGAACGCCGCAAGTATATCAAGATGGCTGGGCCTTTAGAAAGGTCCTAAACCACGGAGGAAAGAATCAACTGAGAAAAAAGCGTGATGATGATATGTGGGGCTTAACGTCTCTAAACCACCATATGATTTTTAGAGACGCCATAGTAGAGGGCTCCGGAAATTTTGACCACTTGGGGTTCTTTAACGTGCTCCCAAATCTGAGCACACGAGCCTACGCCATTTTCGCCTCCATCTGAAATGCAGCCGCCGCAGCTGGGATTCGAACCGGCGACCTGCGGGTCAGCAGCGGAGTACCTTAGCCACTAGACCACCACGGCAGGGCGAGAAAAAAGCGTTATGTCACATTTTAAGAAGCCGGAAGTATAGAAGAGTAGAGGACTCCTCCTCTCAATTCTGGGCACGCCATGGCGGCTCGCGCATGCGTAATTGGTGCCAGCGAGGAGGTGCCGGCGCGAGTCTACCACTGCCTGGCGCATCCCTGTCGCTTGCGCACGAGACCACGGCCTGTCCACATTGTCCCACAGCCCCCCTGCAAAAGCACGTGACTTCCACCTCTCATTTTGCTCTGCAGCTCGCATTGCGAGGTCCTCTCCTTTGCTTTTATTTCCTCCATGGCCTAAACATTCACCGGGTGGCTGAATTGTGTGACTGCACGTCTAAAAGAAAGAGCGACAGACTAAAACTCTTGCTTTAGAGTATCCCAAGAAAGACTATTCTGTTTAAAATTGTATCACGAAGCACGCCACTACATTAATATTTTTGACAAGTGGAGCTTTGAGCATCAAGGCACTGACCAACGAAAGTATTTCAAGGTAGAGGAAGAAGATATGCGCTGAAAAACGAAGCACCAAAATTTTTTATCATTGTTTTATAAAGTGGTTGGAGCTGTATTCTTAATATCTACCACAGATTGCAAGAGCCGCTGAGGTATGTGACTCGATAGGGGCAGAGCCCGCTTTAAAAGAAAGCCGGGGCACCCGCCCATTCATCTTGTCGTCTAGAAATTTACATCTCTGTGACTTTTCAATACACTCTACGCAGGTTCCTGGTTTTGCGTGGGCCTCGGATCAAAAATTGAGTCCTGGAGGTAGGCAGCACGGCTCGGACTGGCAAGCGTCGAACCAAACACTCAGTTGGGTAGAAAGCCCTTAGAGTCGCGGTTGCTCCTGAAGCCAGTTGAGCAAATCGCGTTGGCGAACGTGAAGTTAAAGACAATTCCTGGCGAAGTGCAACCGAATGAAATTCTGATGGCCAGTGCTGCAGCACATGCTGGATGACAGTCTTTTATGATTCCCGCAGGGGTGCTTTTATTTTAGAAATTTATTTGTGATAACATATATATAGACATTTTGAGTGGGTTCGTGACGTTGGCGTAGGCGCCATCATCGCTGTCGCCACCGCCGTCATGTTCCTTTGAAGGCCCAATTGATGACATACCCGTGCTCGTATTATGTTCTATTTGCGGGTAAATGCGTGAGAATAAGGACAATAAAACAAGCCGGTCCATTTCGGTAGCTCAAAGGTTCATGCAATAGCATCCCCCCGCGCGTTAGACTTCCCGTAGAATCCTCAAGCACACAGGAACTACCCTGCCTATCTTTAACGATCTCGAGAATACGCGGAAAGGGGGACTCAATCGAGTAGCACCTGTGAATTTTTGATGCTAAGTGTGCGGTCACGATTACTAGCTAGCACATCAGCTCTCGGCTCGTATACCCTTCTACGTGCTGCGCCCTCAATGCGAGAAGACTGCATAAGAGCCACCACCCCAGGAGCGGCTGCAACATCTCACACCAACGTTTTAACGCGATAGTGTTACAGAGATCGTGTCGCAGAAATTCCGCCATCGGCGTCGGCACCTTTGGTTGTGAGCGGAAAATCATCCGTGAGTGAAAAATTGTGAAAGAAGCACACAAAATAAACATAGAAATTTCGGTCCCACTTAGGGTCGAGCCTGGGCCGTTCGCGTGGCTTGCCGGTGTCCCACCACTAAGCCACGATGTTTTTTGCAGCGGCTTCGGGAAAAAACACTACATAAATGCCATGTAGTGGAATGAGTATCCTTAAAGCACTTTGTTCGATCAGGTATCACGACGAAAACGAGCTTATTCGGCGATTTGTAGGCGCAATCGGAGGCCATCAAACTACGTCAAAAGGCCGTGATAGTGCAGCCACCACCGCTAAAAACACACAGTAACTTTCAAACACCTATAAAAATGGAATCTAGTGGAAAACACATCATGCCTTTCCATAGGTGTTGATCAAGCAAACAGCAAACGCTAGATAAAGTCCTGCCATCTGTGAGACATTGTAAGACTCAGCATGGCCCAGCCAGAAAATGCCATTTCAACAAACCACAAAACTTGCACAGAATTAGCTTTTCATTCTTACGACACCGTTAAAGAAGTGAAGTAATGCAGTTGCCATTTCACCTACCATAAGGCGATGCTTGTTGGGTTGGCCGGAAGAGGTCTCCAGAAGAACAAGTCGAACAGTTGCCAGATAATTAACGCAAGACGGACGACAGAATGTGACCTTTTACGAATACAAGTGCCACGTCTATGTGCAGTTCATAATACAGGACCGTGTGACTATATCACTGTTCAACATTTTCATATATTTGTTGTAAAGTGCTGTTAAATAGATCGAAAACCCGCACAATTACTGTAAATACATCGTGCTTGCACGCGCGTGTGTGCGTGTGTGCGTGCGTGCGTGTGTGTGTGTGCGTGTGTGTGTGTGTGTGTAACAATGTACGCACTACGTATGCACTAACAACGTATCCACTAACAACGTATGCACTAACAACGTATGCAACGTATAACAACGTAGTCATTGAATGGCGCACTATGGGGTCGGATTTCGCTGTCGTGTTCAACTCTTAAAGGCGAAGAATAAGGGCCCCCAAATTTTGTATGGAGTTATTTATCATCGAATCCGAAATAGTTAGCTGCTAGTGTTGCTTTGCATACTATAAGAAGTTATTCCTATCACAATCAGTCCTTTGCTGTTGCGGTGAATTGGTTATTTTTAATTTATCAGCAAGCATGCCATGTTTGACAATATTACGCGATATTTATTCGCCTGTGGCGTCGTTCGAGAACCTATCGAACAAACAAATACGAATGGTGTGGATAGGCCTGCAGCAATCAGGAGGAGCGACTCCACACGGCATCATCATCCTTCTTTTTAATGAAAAAAACCAACCAAACACCAACAACATGAATGGTTTTCCGAAAATGGCATTAGCACCGCGTGAAACGCACATTCAGCAAATCTTAGTCATACCAAAGATAATTCACGATGGACATTGCGTTGCATTTGAAAATCTTTGATGTGGCTGACACAGACACGTCATCATCCTTGAACATACAGTCCCGAGAGCTTACCAAATACTCGTAGTACATCCATTGAAAGTAGATGGCTCGCCGTGATTGACTTCGAGCTTTGCTGTGGTGCGCATGTTCGCGGCACCCTGAATGCTTTCCTGCAATTGCTCCCTTCGCATTAACTGTTGCTCGTGAATATCATGGCCCCGAAGATTCGACCACGACTGATGCTCCGACGAGCCCAGGATTTCTCAACCGAGACTTTGCAGGATAACCCCACATGCGGTGCCTCTATGAACCTGGCGGACACGTCAAATGTTGTGGAAGCCAGAAGTCATAAATTTTCGCTTATTACGAATTTGGCGAAAAGTCATGTGTGCTAGCTGGCTAACGAAGCTCAGCTGTACTTGCAGCTTTAGTAAAAGATGAATGTTTGGGAACACGTGACTATTCTTATCTTCAAAAACATCGTGCATTATTCTTCCTATGACATGCTGAGGGGCGACATGACACCCACACAACTCATTGCCGTGTACTTCCACCACCCACCAGGGCCAACCAAATTCTCTGTTCTACCAGCTGCGTGCATTACCATCATGTAAGAGATGAATTTGTTGATCTTTGTTTTAGGTTATCTTTATTTGGTTTTGATTGCGTTCAGGTCATAATGCTCTGA